TGCCTTTAAAAGTTCTAAGGCAAAGAGCAAATCTAAGATATTGATTATAGTTCAAAGGTACAGAAATTATTTTTGCAGTCATGTAAATTAGTGGTTGTAAAGTCATTTCCCCAACAAATAAAAATGCTCTTTTACCAAGTTAAAGTTTTATGAAGTAGTCTTTTATTTTCCAAATACAAATTGGCTCCTTGTTTGCTGTTTTGAAGAAAATGCAGATAAAGGTAGACTCAATCTGTTGTCTGTCTTGGTTTTGACTGGTGATAAATATCACTCAGTCCAATTAAAGACAAAACATAAAAAAATAAGCTATTGGATGGAGATGAGACTGATATTGATCTTAATCCCTTTGGGAGGGATCTTTTAAATGATTTGAAGGGGAATGCTTTATAAATGTACTACCATGGTCTCTTGAAGTTTGCTTCTGAAGCAAATGTAATTCATTTTAACTCTGTTTCTTGACCTGCTAGTTGAAAAGCTAAATATGTTTCATAACAGTTTTCACATTTACCTTTCATAAAGTATAATTTTGTATTCCTTGACCATGATGTTATATTTCAAGCCATATTTTATCTGAAGGAAGCTGTTTATATATATAAAGCTTTTGCTTTAGGATTCATTTACATTTGATCCTTAATTTTCTTCTTTAAATACCTTCTGTACATGCTTTAGGGGGACATTTTCATATGTATAGGTTATGTAGAAAATTAATATAAGTGATTGACTCTGCTGGCAATAAATCATGAGCATTCATATGATTGTTAAGTGTTGGGGAAAGGAAAATCCTCAGAATTTTGCCAAGATAAATTGAATCTGAAAAAAGCCAGCTACATACAGCATGCATCTTCAATTGGAAGACATTTGGGATAAACTAGGAGGGGAGGTAAAGAGACAAAACTGTGACAGATTTGATTTCTCGAACATGAAAGCTCTGATTTCTTCATGCCCATTATAAGGTATTCCGGCTGCTGCTTTGGGCTTTAAATCAGCTCTCCCACCAGGTAGGTTGCCATCTTAAGGATAAGGTTGCTGAGGCACAGGAACGTAACACGAATTGCTGAAGCTGTATTTCACGATGACTTTTTCTCTCTCTGCATCCCTTCACCCATGTTGTTATGAGTTGGAGTAGGTCCCACTGTAGATATAAGGATTGGAAGACTTGGAGTGAGATACAGTAACACGAAGGAAATCAGAGAAAAGTCACTTCAAGGAAGGTGGAAAACTTTTGTCAGTTGGTTCCTAAGTAAACTCGAACTTTGAAATATCAGCCCTGAGTTTAAAAATCATGAGAGCAGTTGAAGATTCTCCCCTTATTGTGTGTATGTGTGTTCTTTCCATTTGGCTAGTGTATTCCATAATACTGATAATTATGATTGGGAAATTTATTTGGATATTTGCCTATTTGATGTTAAGATACCTATAAAGTGATTTTATTTTAAACTGGGTTAGTGAGAAGTCTGCATATAGTCAACTGTGCAGGTACTTAGTAAATATTGGGTGAGTGAGTGAACGTTACCTTTTATTTACTCAAGTGAAAGGTACCATTTCCTACCCTCTAATGCTGTGCTATGCAGTAGAAGTATGATGCAAACCACACACGTGATTTTTATTGGGCTAAATTTTATATATTCAACCCCATTTATCCATAATATTATCATTTCAACATGCAATCAATATAAAATTCTTAATGAAATATTTTACATTCTTTTATTATAATAGGTCATCAAAATTTTGCCTGTATTTTGTATTTACAGGGGTCAAGAGCTACATGTAGTTAGTGGTTATGATTCTACTTCACAGCAATACGGATTTCCATATGCTTGTGTAGTTCTCAGCTGCATTCTTGACTTTAAGGACTCCCATTGTTTCTTCTCCCTTCAGGCCCCTGAGCTTCTGTATTTACACCTTTACATAATTGACAGCTCTCTCAGGCTTCCATCTTCTGGGCTGTCAATTCCGGTCCTTCTTTGTTTCTTTATTGTCAGTTTTGTGGTCTTGAACATGTGTCCTGGGGGGTAGGGGGTGAGGTTTGTGAGTTTAATAGTAATATAGAAAAGCACTGTGGTCCTCAAAGTAGGATTATCAGAATGAATATTATCATCCAACCAAAGGAGAAATAGCATTTGACTCCACTGTATATGTATCTCCTGACATTTTCTTGATAAGAGATTATGGTGATTTGGAAAAGGTCCTTTCCATAGACAAGCCAGGAAGAGGGGGATATTGGAATGAGTGTTTCTTTAGTCAAAGCAGTACTTACAGCATCTGAGGACTCCAGCCCAGGAGGCGGCCTCTCAGATGGCTCTAGACTGCTCCAAAGGGGTAGGGGAGGGGCCAGGATATATAGGAGTTTTTGCAACAAAGACCAAGTAGTCAGAAAAATCAAAAGATTACTGTTAATTAAAGAAAACCGTATATCTCAGGTTAAGGAATTTAGCGCTCTTTTATGTATGGGAAGGTACAAAGGTCTGGGCTCATTGAAATCATTCCTTTGGTAAGCACCTTAGCTAAGGAGGGCCAGAATCTGGCTTTTCCCATCCTGAGTTCCCTCAGGGGGGCACTGCTGTGGGTGGCTGCAGAGGCCAGGCTGCCTGCTCGTCTGCATTGGGAGCTCACTCTCTGGGGTGGAGGTAGTGGCTGACGACTTAAAGGCCTCAGCATTCTTTGTTCACTGATACTGCCGGCAATATTTTTCATTCACAGTTATTAAAATGGAAACCTTCACGTTCCAGTGGGTTTTGTTTTTATTACTTATGCACTGGTAAGCATCCCTCGTTCTTGAGAGATTGAAGGTGGACAGTATAGAGGTCACATGCTTTGAGGGCCACGCTACTCCGTTTATCAGCAGTGTTCTGTGTTTTGTTTTCTCCTTGAGTAGGATTTAATCTACTTTGGTTGCTGGAACTATAATCATTTTACACTGATTTATTCATTCATTCAGGAAATTCTTTGAATGCTAACTGTGTGCTAGAAAATACACTAGGCACTCATGCCCAAAAGAGATGTGAACACAGTCCTCATTTTCCTTATAGTTCTGTGACAGACACCCCCCCCCCCCCCAGTATTCCTTACTGGACTCATTTGCGAGAGTCTGTTCATTACAGCTTAGGAAACTTTAAATTGAAAGTGTTTTAAAAGTTCAGCTTTTGTTTATTGTGTTTTTCCAAAGTGAGCCGTTGATCGAATTCAAGCCGTATCTTTGCCACAGTCGTCATCTGGATGTGCAAATACGTTGTAAACTAACTGAATCTTTCAGGATCACCCTGATTTTTGGCAGATTGAAACTATGGCTGCAGTGTGGTTTGCTCCCACTCCCAGAGCTGGCTTGTCAGTTTTAAAATGGCTTTCCAGTTGTGATTTATGTCATGTTGCAAGTGAGCCTGTGACCTGCACAGAGGTTCTCAGGATGAAAATTTTACTCTCATGTTAAAAGAGATTTTCCGATGCTGGATCTGGAAACTTCTTAGCCAGTCCTAATTAAGTTTGAAGCATTTATTTTCTGTTGTCTAACAGGAGCAGACCATGAAGCTGGTGGAGAGTTTAGGCTGTCCCACTTTGGACTGTCCAGAGTCTCATCAGATTACCTTGTCTCATAGCTGTTGCAAAGTTTGTAAAGGTAAGACTTTTTAGTAAAGTAAGATTTCTGTGCATGAGTCATTCTAGGAGGCTAGTTCAACTGACATGAAATAGAAATTTTTATGAGCAAGTTATTTCCAAAGACGGTCGAATTGAAATCTAGATGCTCTCATGAATTTCTGCTGAACTCAAGTTCCGGGACCTCTAAAAACTTCTGTGTCCTGGTTCTGAGTGAGCATGACGCTGGTGAAAATATGTACATAGTAGGGCTGAATTATTTGATTAGTTTTTTTAGGGGTGGGGATTTGCTTTTCTTTTCTCTTCAGTTTTTTTTTAAGTGAAATATAGTCGACTTACAATGTTGTATTAATTTCTGGTGTACAGCATAATGATTCAGTTATACATATAAA